TTTTATAAATAATAATATCTATATTTTTTTTATATATATATATATATATATATATATATAGATATTTAATTTTATTTTTGCGAATAAACAACTTGAAGCTGATTCAAGAGTTGATATTGAATTACACTTTTTCAAAGATGAATTGATGCCACATGACACTGCTGTCATACCATATACGTCCCGCTTTGGGAATAATGAGTAATATCATGGCATTTTAAGGAAATGTCTTATGGGTGCATATAGAGGTATATAGATTATGATTCACTGTACAAACCATGGCAATTTGCTTTGAACTGTAAATTACTTTTTTTTTTCTTTTTAAACGGACTGGAAAACCAACCATACAGTTTTACGGTTCCTAGTTTTGTACTTGCTGAGAGGAGCAAAAACTGTTGCTCTGAGTTCAGTCGTTTTACTGTTTGTTTGGTTGGTTGTCTGTTCTTTTTTTTGTTTTTTTAAGTTAAGTTATGGTGGTCAGATTTTTTGCCAATTATTTAATTGTACATTAAAATATGTTTGTACCATTCAAAAATATTTGGCTTCTGGTGTGGTATAATTCTTACATTGTAGATGTGGAGCTGGAACAATGTCAACCTAAGGTGGTTTGAGACAAAGTTAATCCACACATTGCTGATTAAATATAAAAAAAAGTAATGGATAATGATACAGTTACACCAAGGTTTTATTTATGGCATCATAATACCAAGTTTTCTATTTTAAAGTGCAAATACTCTTAATAGCAAAAGCAACCACAGACATTTGGCACAGACATAGTCTATCAAATATATACAGGTCACATGATGTCAGATATTAAACAGTTGAGCCCCCAGAGATGGACATTCCTAGAGGCTAAATATACATTCGCCTCAATATAGAAATCATCAATATTTTTTTTTGGTCTTCAGGTCTCAGTTTTCATCTTGGACTAAAATAACACCAAATATAAACAGTAGTCAAGTTAAATCTAACATGGTAGATTACTGTGCAAGATGGCGCATACTTGTCAGGACAAAAAAATTGCACAAACACTGCAAATAGATGAGATATTAGCAAGCAAGTGTTGGGAAAAAATAAAATGCAACTTTATTTCATGCACATAATTACGCTCAAAGTTAGAGCATAATTGTGCGATGATGAGGAGTGCAGTTTTTTTTTTCCACACCATAATATTTTGTTTATGAAGTGTCAAGGACGGCACACGGTGTTGAAACGCTGTATTTTGTATTTCACATACTTTAAGTATCAGGAGGCCACTAATTCTAATTTACTGCATGAGGTGGTGTGCAATTTAAACTGAAGGTCAAGATTAGAATATGTTTACCAAGTATACAGTATATATATATATATATATATATATACACATACATCCACGTAATGTGAATATGTATGTGACAACTTTGCTTTTAGGAATACTTAATTGTGCGACTTACTCTGAACTACCATTATGTATTTCATGCAAATACATGACTAGACCAAATGAAGTTTATCCCATTTAGTTAAATCTGTAAACTTCACTGCAATCCAGTATCAGAGAACTGGCTTGATTTGTTTCATGGTCAATACAAGTTTACAATTGCATCATACTATCGGTACTGTCATTAAATGGACTGTTACTTTGATTGATTGTAATCGCTGAAGTTTGAACTAATTTAGAACTAATAGTGCAAATAAATGTAGTCTGAAACACTGGCGGAAGTTGTGCAAGCACATAATCAACAATGCAAAACAAGGGATGTACCAATTCTCGTTCTGACCCCCCTCAGTCTCTGTAATGTTAGATCTCCATCTCCCAGCTCCTGAAGAACCCCCTTGCTACCAAGGCCTCTCTAAAAGTCACAGTCAGTGAGTTGATGGTGATATCTGTCACAATGACCTCCTCTGGGCCCATAACTGGACTCCAGTCTTCAGGTAAAGGAGATATAGTCATTGCCTCTGATTCAGTGGTTGGACTCCAGTGTCCTCTCCTGACATGCTCTGAGACACAGAGTACATTTTGTACATATTTTGACCTTCATCATGTTATATAAATGTTAAAAGAATCATATAAACAATTATTGTATAGGGTACTGTTTTAGATGCTTTTAGACACAAGTTGTTTTAAGAACACGCTTAATTTAATAATACTGTAGTTGTGTCCCACATTACTACTTGTATTAAAAAGGGCAAAGAATAATGCAAAAGTAGCCTACACAAAATTAGGACACACCAAGTTAAATGTCATTTTTAACAAATCTCTAAATGAATATCCATTTTTACATTATAATGTAAAAATATATTAAATATTTGTACATATTATATATATATATATATATAAATATATATGAAATATATTAGAAATATTACGTTTTTGAAAGAAGTCTCTTATGCTCACCAAGACTGCATTTACTTGATTAGAAATACAGTAACAACAGTAATATTGTGAAATATTATTACGATTTAAAAGAATTGTTACCCATTTTAATTTAGAATGTAATTCATTCCTGTGATGGCACAGCAGCCATTACTCCAGTCTTCAGTGTCACGTGATCTTTCAGAAATCATTCTACTATGTTGATTTAGTGCATCATTTTTTATAATTTATTATTGGTATTCAATAATTAACAATGGTTCTTATCACTAACAAATTGTTTTGCTGCTTAATATTCTTGTGGAAATGTTTTGTGGAAAACGTCAAACATTAGGATTTATTGATTAATAAAAAGTTCAAAAGAATTGCATTTATTTGAAATAGAAATATTTTGTAACATAAAAAATGTCTTTACTGTCACTTTTGATCAATTTAATACATTCTTGCTCAAAAGTATTGATGTTTTGTTTTAAATTTTAGCTTTGCCATCACAGGAATAAAAGACATTTTAAAATACATTAAAATATTAACATTACTAAAGTAGAATTATTATAATTATAATTATAATAATTATTATAATAAAATGTCACAATATTATTTTACTGTATATTTGATCAAATTAATTATGCTTTACTGAACATAAGAGACTTTCAAAAACTTAAAATTTAACTTAAAATTTTTCCAAACTTTTGACTGATAGTTTACATACAGTGGAGATCAAAATTAGAGAACAATCTGTAAATACTTGATTTTTTTCTGAAATGTTGTTAATCTTCATCGCTCAAAATTTGAAGGAATATTAGCTGTAGGTATATCACTGTTCTACTAACATGTTTGACTAAATAACCAAGCCATTTCAACAAAAACCTTTATTTTGTGGAAAACAGTGATACAAACACAGTGATTGTGGAATACAGTGAAAATTAGAGAACAGTAGCCACTGTAGCATGAAAGAAGATTACAACTAAAATTTTGGAGGGTTACAGCTGTCAGAAATTAGTAGGAAGTGTAGAGGCCCTTGCTTTGAATGACTTCAGCACATCTGCAGCTGCAGAGCATCACTAGTTTCTGAGACTGCACTGGTGTGATCTTAGTCCACTCTTCTTCCACTCTCTTCCATAGTTCGATAACTGTAGTGGGTTTCTTAGCCATAACTTTGTCACCAAGGATTTTCCAGAGATTTTCAATCGAGCTTAGATCAGGACTCTGGGCTGGCCATTTCATTAATTCAGTGTTCTTAGCTTCAAGGAACTGATTTACCCATTTTGCAGTGTGACAGGGGGCATTGTCTTGCAAGAAAATTGCTTGGCTGATTGGAAGATGCTAGCAAGGAAGGAACTGCATGTTGCTGAAGGAGGTTCTGATAAATATTTGCATTCACCCTGCCATGTAGCTGTATAAGAGGCCCAACTCCTGCTGCAAAAAACATCCCCCAAACCATGACACTTCCTCCTCCACCTTTCAGTCGTCAGTCTTTCCCAAGTTTGACACCAAACAAAATATTTCCTATCAGACCCAAACAAATTAAACTTGCTCTCATCACTAAAGTGAACTTTGGACCAGTTCTCCTCTCTCCACACAACATGCTCCTAAGCAAAGGTGTCTAGCCTTTTGATTCTTTCTGTTGATGAGAGGCTTGGTCACTGCAGTGTGTGCTTTCAGTCCGACTTCTCTTAAACGTACTGAGACAGATTCTTACCCTGCTCAGCACTGAACTGGCAAGCAATTCCAGCTGCAGTGTTGAACCGATTCCCCATTGAGAGTCTCCACATTATTCTCTCTTCTCCTGCATTTGTCTTACGTGGACAACCAGCCTTTTTGGGAGTCTTGAATGAATTGGTTTCATTGTAAAGCTGCAATATTCGAGAAATCACAGATTTGGAATGACCAGCTTCTCTTGCAATGGCTGAAAGGGTCATCCCTTTGGCCTTCATCTGGACAACCTCCTGTCGTAGGGTTTCAGTCACCTTAGAATGGCCATCTTTCAATCTCAGTGAAAATTAGAGGAATGCTGCCAGTTAAATAGGGTTTGTCATATAATTAAGGAAATTAGCACCAGGTGCCAGATTAACACCAATATCTGTAAGTGTTCTCTAAATTTGATTGGAGTTCTTTTTCAAATATCTCATTTATATTTTTTTGTAATGTGCTTCAGAATACAATTAATTTATGAAATATGCTATAAAAAAAAACTGCCCTTCTACTCCTGTTAGGATAACTTCAAATAGAACTAAGCAGTGACCTTGAAATTTAGGAAATTGTAGGTTGTTCTCATATTGATCTCCACTGTATATATAAAATGTCATTATCTATATTTCACTTGCAGAATTTAAAACTTGATTTTATTTTTAAGATTTGAACCATAAACTAACACATTTTACATATATAATGCTAATCATTTAAAAAAAATCTTTAAAGTAGGGTTTTGCCTACAACAACAACAAAAAATTCCTGGATCTGTTCAAATACAGTCATGGCCAAACGTTTAGGCAGTGACATAAATTGTGTTTTGCAAAAGTTTGCTGCTTCAGTATCTGTAGATTATTTTTCTACATGTTTCTATGGTATACTGAAAAACAATGATAAGCATATAAGTTCTAAAGGCTTTTATTGGCAAAATATAATGAGTCAATATTTACAGTGTTGACCCTTGTTCTTCATAACCTCTGCAATTCGCCAAATCCTGACTGATAGCGATCCATGCTTGCTTTATTAGATCTCGGAGTTTATCTCAATTTGTGGGCTTTTGCTTGTCCACTCACCTTTTGAGGACTGACCACAGGTTCTCTATGGGATTGAGATCCG